ACAGGTTGGCATTAGTCGGAGAGCCCCAGCTGTTTAGCTTTGTTTTGAACTCCACCCATTTCAAAATGCCAACCAGCCTCCACGAGCAGGAAGGATGGCACGGTCAGCAGGGCTCTTCTCCGCAGGTGACGTTACATAACGCAGCAGGACCGGGCGAGGTGCTTGCAGCTGATGCTGTCAAGACAGGAGACTCTTCCCCAGGGCTGGGAGACGGGGGGCGTTTAAGAATCCGAGAGCGCATCAACACAGTCAGACAGTGTGCTATGACTTTGAGACATGATGTGGTCTTTTCTGAGCCATGAGAGCAACCACAACACAAATGGTTTAGTAGTATTAGTTGGGTTTCATTTATGTTTTGCCATGTAGAAATGCTTAACTCCCGAAAGAGATTTACATTTTAACAGCCTGTCAGTATTAATAATTTAATTACTCATTTTATTGATCAATTATAACTGAGTTTCCCTTGAACTCATTCATAAAATGTATCATTTTTAAACATATGGTTGTGTCAACAGAAGGTCATTATATCTGAAATGCTGAAATGCAACTTGATTGGTTGCTTTTTTACTCCATCTAGTGGTTGTCACTCCTAAATACAACACTGAGTCAGTATGCATTCTCACAATTAAAACAGACATTTAAGAGTTGATACGTCTACATTCGCTGGCTTTTATAACCGTTTATGGCTTTAAATTGAAGTTTTCTTCCTTTCTGGAACATTAAGAAACAATGCAAATCCTCCTTTGGGTTTTAAAATACGGTAAGAAATTCTACAATAATAGCCAATATCTTACACCAAAAATCACTTAAATTTTTCGCAAGACAACTTAACTAAGGGAACTTTCCTTTTTCTGGGCAACAGTATGGTGTTAAGCGCTGTTGCCTCACAGCAGGAGGCTTCCCGGTTTGAATCCCGGCTGCAGGCCTTTCTGTGTGCAGTATGTATGTTCTCCCCATGTTTGTGTGGGTAGTTTGGCCTTCTTACCCAGCCCTAAAACATGCATGTTAATTGATGACCCCAAAAATGGACACTGTCCATTGTAAGTGTGCATGGTTTTCTGTCTCCTAATGTGATCTGTCTTGTTGGGATAGGCTCCGGCCCCCTCAACAACCTTACTCGGAACAAGAGGGATTAGCAAATAAATATATGGACTCCCCTTTCTCCAGCAGGGGGCATGTTCATACTAATTTTCCTCAGTCAAAGGCATTGGTTAAGAAAAATCACTGCTCTGAACAAACAGATTGTTGGTTATGTCCAGGCTATTCAAATCTAAACTGATCTATCTGCATGGTATCATAAGTGTTTCAGAAAGAGGATGGAGTTGATGCTCCGAATGATCGATGTTTGGCTCAGACTCACAACTTCAGAGGTTACATCATGCAGCAGGGTTGAAACATTTCTCTAGTCTTGCGTCATGGTATTTTATGGCAGCTGGTTTTCCGATTCCTTCACAGGCTCTGTGGTCAACATCATCCTCTGTGTGGAGTCAGCAGAAAGTGACAAAGAAGCATTATCCAAAATGTGAAAAATCTTTTGGAATCACGATTTAAAAAAAAAATCTAAATAATTTAAGTATGCTTCACGCAGTGATTAACTAGAGTTAAGTTTCTACTGGAATGTGTCATTAACTAGAGTTAGGTTTCTGCAGTGATTAACTAGAGTTAAGTTTCTACTGGGATGTGTCATTTAGGAGCCCATATGGTGGAAACTAAACAATGACACATATGGCGGAGACAAACAGGATGAAAGGAAGATGCTAAGAAAACCTCTTAACAGCTGCAGTGTGTTTGGGCCGGATAGTTACTGAAGTCCTGTTTGCTCACATCCCCCACATACATCCGCCCTCCAAATGAACTGAAACAGTAAAAGAGCTGCATGAAGAACGGTAGGAGTTAAATCATATAGCTTTGAGGGATCTCATGAAAACAACGCATTATTGTCCAGCCACTTTTCCCAAAGAAAATGGTAAAATGTTCCTTTTTTTGCAAAGCGTAAAGGTATTTTGACGACTCCATATACAATATAATTCATCGTTTAAAATCTGTGTGTATGAGGTCAAAAAGGAGTTAAGTTTTCTGAAGATAATCCAGAGGTAGGAGTTCCTTACGCCGGTGCTGAGGCTGGAGCAATGACGCCCAGATGCTGCATAGGCTTCTATCCTCAAATAGAATTGCTTTTTTAAAGTTATGTAACAGCAGCTCCACCCTCTGAGGTCCCGTCTGGTGAAAACGTGCTCAACATGACTCCTCTAACTCGCATAGAAAGCAGACTTCAGAACGAATAACTTTTCTGATAGTAAAACTTTGCATCATTTATTAACTCAGTTATGTATCTTTTTTAATTGATCTTTTTTTTACATTGCTTACTAATTTAAGTAAAAGCTGAAAGCCTAACTGTACCTTATGCTCTGAGGGAAGGGTCAGAGAACTTCTGGAAGCTTCTGAATGCACACACTGACACGTATACACATGTGCAGATTACATGGATGGCATAAAGGCGGGACTGTGTGGAGCAGCTGAAAATTACCTCAGGAAATAACCCCTTCCACAAGCCTTCATCTCTGATCCCTCACTCATAGACACCAAGCATCAACATGCTTCTTTTTCTTACTGAAGCACTTCTGGCAATGCGTGAAATATTGACATATATCAATAATATCTTTTTAATGTTGTTGTTGGGAATATGACAAACCTAATTCTAAAAACAGAAAGACGCTGTAAAAAACTGAAAAAAGGAGGGCTGAATGATACAATTTGCAAATCTAACATATCATCATGTTGCTGAAAAAACAACACAGAAAACATAGAAATGGAATAGAATAAAAAACATAGTGGGGGAAATTCAAAACAAAACATATAAAAGTGCACGCCTTCTACTTTTATCAAATGCTCTTAAATGTTCACACTTTCCACTACAAAGCCATTTGGTTACAGTGGAATTGTTTTGTCGAAAGAAGCATGGCCTTCGCTGACAAAGACATCACATGCAGCAAAGTACTGTCTCATTTGAAGAAAAAAAAAAGATAAATCAAGGGCTAAGTTGTGATATGGAGCCCGGCAGGTCTGCTTTTTTTTTTTAGCTCTGGTTAGCTTTTCTGGAGTAAGACATGATTTGTGTCTACTAGAATGTTCTGAGATTGCACACGAGCACACACACACAAACACACGTGCGCGCGTCACAACTGAAAAAGCAAACCACTCTTCAGGACTATTTGCGTGGGGCTGTAGAACAACAGGACTCATGATTGGCATTTTGAAGGAATTTCATTGATGATGGAAGAAACTTTAGTCTCTGACGATGTAAATTTGATTTATTCCATTAGAAAGAAAAAATAAGTGTTACATCTCGAAAGCTTGGTTCAGTCTTTCTATGCTGTCTGAAACAACATGGCATCAGTGGCCGCTGAATTGACTTCTTAATCCACTTCACAAAGATCAGACAGATGAAAGACAATGCAGTGCCATGCATGTCCCATTTCAAACTGAAAACAGCTTTGTCAAGCACTGGAAACTGATCAGGAATGCGATTGTTTCTCACAAAGGTTAAGTCAAGGGGTTCCTGTTGGGACGTGTCGTCTTTTACGACATTGCACCTCCGTTATACCCCCGTCCTGAGCACTGAGGAGCTGAGTTGGACAGACGTGGCAGTTTGGGGGTGGGGGCAGGGCTGCAAATCTTCCAGTCTCCTCTCAGCCCCCGAGTGAGACTTTGAAAAATTCTAGACTGTTCCATGGCAAACTATGCACCAGTAAGAAGATCTAGAAAACCATAAAACCAGAATTTTACCGATAATTTCTTCCTTTCTTAAGGACAATGTGCCTTTACAGGACATTCTGCTTACTGTGAATGTGTAGGAATGCTATTGAGTGTGTCGGGGGGGTTGTTCCCTCTAACTTCCAGCCACAGAAAAAGCAGCTTTTGACATAAAACGTGCATGTATCCATAAAGTTGACTTTACAACAATGGAGAAAGTGGATAAAGAAAAATCTGCTTCTTGCATCTTTCTTTTACGAGTGATGAAACCATCGTGGAAAATTGAATCAGTCAGGACCAAACGGGAATGCCTTTGTACACCAGGAGCTAAGACTGATCAGGAATCAGGTTTCCTTTGACTCCCTGACTGTAAAAAGTCTGTGAGAATGTTTTAGAGTTGATCCCAGGCCAGCTCTCAGTGCGCACTGGAATTTTTCTGTGGGACGTCCCAGTTCCCAACTTCCTCTGCAAACACAGACTCCCTCATTTGAATATCCCATTCCCAGCTTCTAGAAAATTCTCTCTATGGATATATAGGGGCCGGAGAGCTTGTTACCGTTACGCTACCCGCCGGACACAACTGAGAGGAGACACCCTGCGAATCTGTGCCAGGTGAGGATCAGAACTCCACACTCTCTGCTTTAAGAAGGGGAATGTGGACGGTGAATGCACTGCTTTGTTTTCAGGGCTTAAGGTTACAGCTCAGCCTTTTACACCCCCACCTTTTAACCGGTTTGAAGTCTGCTGCTTATCCTCTTCAACACGTTTACAGGAAGAACAGCCTCGTGAACTCCCGGCAGAGCTCAAAGACTTCAGGCAAATTATCCCAAAAAATGATGACTAAAGCTTTGTGAATATCTCTATGTGCTTCGCCATCTCTTCCAGTTTAATCTGATAAATCACAGGAAAGCACTCGGGGCAGCTAGCTGTTTAATCCCTCATAAAAATGAGGTTTTCAGGCTCGTGCTGCTTTGCAGTGACGGCCCCCGGATGGATGGGCTGCACACAGCTTGGAATTGAAAAGTCTGACAGAATAATGCATGTTGGAGTCTGTCTCCGTTAGAGCCCCAAAAAACTGTTCTCACTGCTTGCTCTGTGGAGATGACTGCATACACCTCTTGTCTTTCAGAATGAAAATCGCAGACATGAAAACATCTCCAGGTATCTAAACATGAAAGTGATTTCTGCTGTGTGCTAAATGTGCCGACGCGGAGATGCATATGATGTCTCTCTGCGAGAGAAACAGGATGCCAGTGCAACTGGTGATAGGCAGCCCGAGGCCATGTTGTTTAGACTGTGATAATGCGGGGCGAGTTAGACACAGCCCGCAGGCAAACGCCCCTCTGTGGCTGAGAGGTTGTGTATCCCAGACTGCCGTAAGACCGTTCCCCATGGCACATGAAAAAAACAAAAAGAACCCCAGATCCGTTGTACTTCTCAGGAGTTGCAAAGATTTGCAGTATTGGAGGCATCGTATTTCAGCCCTGTGACAGCACACAGCTTAGCTCTGAGTGGACGGCAGCTCTCAGCTGCGTCTCCAGCTGCTGCTGACGTGGCAGGGAACTTGTCTGCATCTGACTAAAGGCCGTCCCGCGCTGCCTTGTGGGCTGAGCCCGCCCTGCCCTGCCCTGCCTTCACCACTCAACATCCATAGCATAGTCTTTAGCCCTGGTGTTTCCTCTCTGAAATAGGGTTCCAGTAAAAGGAATTAACTTTTGTGTACAGTAAAGATGGGTAGGCGTCACAAGCTCACCCGTGCTGTTTTTCTCCCTTGTCGGCTCACAGGCTGCTGCAGCTGCGACTTGAGACGGACAGGATGTGGATGACTAACATTGTCGCTCTTTGTCTGCTGGCCATGATGGCCTCTGCAGAGGACAAGAAGTTGAGCAGCCACGCTACCACGCTGGCTGACAACAGCGCCAATCTGGCCTTCAGGTCTGTTACACACTTCTTCTCTTTTTAGGGATCTTGGAAGACACCTTTCCAGCATTGTTCTCTAAGCAGATTTCTTGGTTTCACTGCTAAATTTGATGTTTTCTTTATCAAATGTAGCCTCTACCACACCATGGCAAAAGACAAAAGTACAGAGAACATCATGGTCTCTCCTGTGGTTGTGGCTTCTTCTCTGGGGATGGTGGCTCTCGGTGGCAAGGACTCCACTGCCTCCCAGGTGAAAACCGTCCTCCGGGCTGACAAACTCAAGGATGAGCATCTGCATTCAGGCCTGTCAGAGCTCCTCACTGAGGTAAGGGCTCGCCTAAAATCCCGCTTCAACCGGCGCCTCTAAACACCCCCCCCCCCCACTCGTCTGTGCAGGTATGTCACCTTATGATTGTTTTGCTCTTTTTCCCAGGTCAGCGACACCAAGACCCGCAACATTACTTGGAAAATCAACAACCGCCTGTATGGCCCCAGCTCCGTCTCTTTTGCTGACGATTTCGTGAAGAACAGCAAGAAGCACTACAACTATGACCACTCCAAAATAAACCTCCGAGACAAGAGAAGCGCGGTGAGCTCCATCAACGACTGGGCGGCCAAGTCCACCGACGGCAAGCTGCCCGAGATCACCAGAGACGTTCAGAACCCTGACGGGGCCATGATTGTCAACGCCATGTTCTTCAAGCGTGAGTATGGAGCAGTGTGGGAGCTCTCCTGCTTTTTGTCTGTGCAAATGTTTACCTGGACGTCTTCTTCTCCTCCCTGCAGCCCACTGGGAAGAGAGATTCCACGACAAGATGGTCGACACCCGTGGATTCCTTGTCACCCGCTCATTCACCGTTGGAGTTTCCATGATGCACCGCACCGGTGAGCCTCTTCATGACCTCAGATTCTTGTCTTATTTTGTCTAGCGGGCTGAAAGATGATAGCAGCAAGGATGCAGGCCCGATAAGATGTCGGATGTGTCTGCTCCCCCGCAGGTCTGTACGACTTCTACGATGACACAGAGAACCGCATCTACGTGCTGAACATGCCTCTGGGCCAGAAGCAGGCCTCCATGGTCCTCATCATGCCCTACCACCTGGAACCCCTGGATCGCCTGGAAAAACTGCTGACCAGGAAGCAGGTGGATACTTGGATGAGCAAGATGGAGAACAGAGCCGTGGCCATCTCCCTTCCTAAAGTCTCTTTGGAAGTCAGCCACAACCTCCAGGTAACTGATTTAACTGCTACTTCAGGTTCAAATCAATCCTCACCTCAGCGTTCAATCACTTATATCATATTTTTTTTCCCCTCCAGAAACATCTGGCTGAGCTGGGCCTGACAGAAGCTGTAGACAAATCAAAGGCCGACCTGTCTAACATCTCAGGGAAGAAGGACCTCTATCTCTCTAATGTCTTCCACGCCTCAGCCCTGGAGCTGGACATTGAGGGAAACCCATATGACACCAGCATCTTTGGCACAGAAAAACTTAGAAACCCCAGACTTTTCTACGTAGATCACCCCTTTATTTTCCTGGTGAAAGACAACAAGACCAACTCCATCATGTACATCGGCAGAGTAGTCAGACCCAAAGGGGAGAAGATGAGGGATGAGCTATAATATTAATGTTGTGAATTATGTCAGGTAGCTATACAATATTTGTGAAATCGTGGCAGGAAATTGAGTGTATGAGTGAACTTGGTAGTGTTTTTTTCTTTTTTTTTCTTTTTTTCTTTTAAGTGTGACTGTTACCTCAAGCACACATTCCAATAGACAATCTGTGGACTGTATATTTGAGCATGCTGATCTTACACACACTGAACCTTTGCCGGGAACAATTCATCACAAAAAGTTCAGATCTTAGACTCCAGGGACACATATGTGCCTTAAAAAAAAGAAAAAGATATCTTGAACAAACAGCTGTTGACACCAGAGGCTACCTACTTACATTAAGTATGATAAATTATTTGAAATCCTGTTTCTGCCCCTGATGGTCTAACTGCAGTCCAAGTGCGTTTTCTTGCATTATCTTTAATGTTTAAAGAAAAAGATCTTTGCACAAGCTTGTTCTACAGCTTTTTTTCCTTCCTTCACTTCGCCTCCAGTTTGCACTGAATTTCTCCTCTGCTCAAACGGATCTCGCGCAGGAAATTAGGCAAAAGTCCGGTGCTGTTGCTTCAATAATGCTCACTTATCAACCACATTGTGTCATTTTGGTGCTGTCTGTGTTTTCCACAAAGAGGCTGTTGAAATTGTGTTGATGTGTAATAATGTGGTATTTTTTTTTTCAAATAAAAATAAGAAAAATATATTTGTGCGGCTTTTCAATTTTCTTTTAAACCCGCCTGAATGTTGCCCAAACCTAGTTGATGGCGTCTCTTTAAAGTGTTGAACACAAACGCACTCGTGCTCACACGTGAGCGGTCAAAGATAACAATCTTTCCATCTGGCTGGAGGTCAAACAATCCTCCCAGGTCTGGAATGCAGAGATTTTTACAATGAGGGCTCTTTCCTCATATCCCTAACCTGCCAGAGATAACTCCCTTGAAAATGTCTCTACCATGAATAACACACCCAGTGGGATCTTTGTTTGGAAATGCCAGGGAGGCTGTATTTGCGATGAAAAAGCTGGAGTGCAGGGTTCGCTTGGTGATCGGGACGTTAATCATCAAGATGCTAAACACAACAAAAGAGCCAATGTATCAAGAAACAAAAAATAGATACTTTGGAATAAAACATTTCCCATATTAAGCGTTGTTGTATTTTTAATCTAAACATAAAATGCAAATATTTTACTTATACAATGATATGCTAAATAAAATAAAAAAATAAAATAAAACAGAACAAATTCTTCTCAAGGAGTAAAAACTCATGTTGGATTTCTATGTAAAGACCCACAGCACCACCCAGTGGTTTAAAAAATAAAGGTTTCTGGTGTTTGTGTGGCGTCCGAGTTGAACCTTTTAGCTGGGAATCCACCAGAGGAAGATCTTGTGTCCGTGATAGCTGTAATCATTGCAATCTAGGTTTAACATTACTAAACTAATGCAACGGATAATCACGTATAATATTTGATTTTAAAAAGACTGTGTAAAATACAAGTAGGGAAAGAATAAAATGTTGGATTCAACTGTACACAGTAATGATCATCTGTTAAGTTGCATGATGTTTTTTTTTAAAAACACACCGATCATAGATGTAGCAATGAACCTAAAGAACAAGAATAGAAAATTAAGTTTAAAATCAAAAGATTCCGCTTTGGGAAGGTGAATCATATACTTTTTCAACATGAATATAAAATAATGCTGATGAAGAATAAAAAATCCAAATAACCATGATGACAATGAATATGCTTTCAAGAATTTGGGGAAATATTGCCCGTTACGAAAAGGGGGGAAAAGCAGTTTTCTTTTCTTTTTGAGAACGTTCTCCGGAAAAAGGACACCCTTAAAGCCTGGAATTTGAATATGTTAATATCAGTGTCAATATTATCATCGTTAATCTGTGGAACACACTCCATGTATACATTTCATAAAGCAGGCCTGAAAACACTGCTAAAATTATTAATTCACATTTATATAGTTTCCATCCATCCATCCATCCATAGATTGATTGTATTGAAGTGGGATTTCCTTTTAAACTACAGGGCTGTTTAGGCCTCTGTGGTCTTGCTTGACTCTTTATGAATGAGGTGACATGTGGCATGGTAGAGGCACATTTTCTATTTGTTACTTTGTTTTTCTTAAACATCTGACTTGATTTCTGTCGAAAATGTTTGATGCCATTAATATTTGTGGATTGTCTCCCTGTAAATCCTGCGTAACTGTGCCCACCTCCAAATTTCAAACATAGGCGCTGTATTAATTTGACTTGTCATTAAGACGTCCCCCAACAGGTGGCACCCTTCCTTATCACCTACAACCCTATGAAAACTGCTGGTAGAAATGCAAGGAGCGACTCCAATGATACAAATATTTGATTTATTTATATGGTGTAGTATTTACATAAACATAAACTTTTCATTGTGTAATAATATACATGACAAACAACATCATATCAGGTCCACACGTTTCTGACAGTCTCGGCTGTAGATTTGTTTAGCCAGAATGGATGAAGCTCAACCTGCGGTGATCAATAAGATTGGAGCAAAGGAACTGTTAATTTAATTTTTGAAAATACTTAAACAGTGGAGACTTTGGATAAAACATCAAAATAATGCATGCAGCTCTATCAAAAAAGTGCTCTTTTTGTCATTTTTTAAATTCTAATTTGACTTTTATTTAGTTACCAGTATATCCTTTCCTCCACAATAAGTAAACATCTAGACTGTTCATGTATTTATTTTAGACTGAAAAAAAGACTATGATGACGGGCTCATGGCTCCAATGCATTTTTCATTGCATAAAAAATATTGACTACACAATTAACTTCAAGCCCTGATACAAAAATCGGAATCACTTTTTTAAAACTCGTCTGTATAAGATGTTCCCAATTTCTAAAGGGAGTAGGAGTCTTATTATTATTGCGTTCCGATTCACTTTTAATAATAATCTAAACAGGAATTTTAAAGCTCCTTTAAAAGAGGAAACAGAATTGCATTTGCCTCTGTGTGTTTGCATGCTTTCTTTATAAAAAAAAAGAAAGAAAAATAAATTGACCACAATGTAGTTCCCAAAAACCTCTCACTGACAACTGATTTTGATGGTCTGAGAAATCATGACCATCCAATCTGAACAACTAAAGGCCAAATTACATAAAGCAATTCATTGGACATCAAAAAACAAAGCTCACACCTGTTGTTACAGGAGGAGTCATCAACTTTTTTAACATGGAGGTGACAAACAGAACACCTGCAAAATCATTTGTTCTTTCTTTTTCTCCTTTCTTTGAACAGGAGCTAGTGTCCCATAATACCAAAGAAATATGTCCTATAACAGCTCTAAACATCTTAGAATTTAATGGGGGATTAAAGTGCTTATCAGGCTTTATAACAGTGTATTTCAGTAGCCCTCTTACTGAAGAGCGATAAGGTTCCACTAAATGGAACAGAAATCATCCGATACTTTAGGTTCTTTCAGTACTTTCCAAGGTCCCCCCACTCTTCAATATTGTAAACTATTAGAGAGAGGGTTGATTGCATTAAAACAAAACAAAAAAACTTGCAGTCAGCCTGACTGTAATCTTTTTCTGCTCTAAGACAGAGGAGATAAAAGTGGGTTTTGTTTTTTCTTTTTCTTATTGGTACTTATATACATTAGCAGCCTTAGCCTCCAGCTTTGGATGGCTAATTAAATATAGTGTTCAGCCACAGCTACGTTCCAGCCTTGGCTCTGCATCCCTACCAGAAGCTACCTACAGACAGACATAAAAAAAAAGGAAAGAAAAAAAAAAAGAAGAAAATATTTCATTTTGAAATAGGCGTTTTTGGGCGTTCAATCTTTTGACAGGTGAACCTCTGGTTGTCCTGAAAAATAGTTGACCACGCAGTGGCCGGTGAGTGCAGAGAGGAGCGAGTGAGTCCGTACGTCATTAAGGAGCGGCTGCACCTTGCCTGCCGCCCTGGCAGCAGGCAGGTAGGCAGGTAATGCGACAGCTCTCATTACATTAGCACCGTTGTGTTCTGCTGTGCTGGCTGCAGGCAGATTAGCCGGCCGATGAGCAATCCTCTTAAAACAAGTCGGCGTTAAGCCACGCTGAGAGGCTGGGTGGCGCTCTCCGTCCTCTGCCCGCCCCCTCCCACATCTTCGTCTCTTCCTGCTCCTGGATCCTCGTGACGCTCCCTCCTCTCCTCTGTTTTCCCCTCTTCTGAATCATCTCCTTCCCTCCCCTTCGTTCACAGCTTGTTGTCCACCTGTCTGTTGGCCTTGCGGAAAAGAGTCTTTATCTCCTCTGTCACCATCTGCTGCCAGTTGTCCCTGGGCGGCAAAGAAAAGGGAGTTAAATCCGAGAACTTGGAATTGAGAGCAGTTTGATTTCGGCAAGGGGACGAAAAAGAAAAGAAGAAACACAACGCACCCAAGTAATATTGCCACAACCACAGTAAATGAAAAGGGTTTTAATTACGAGAACGAGCCAGAAAGCCACAATAAAGAGTGAAAGCAATAAGCAGAGAGGGCTTTCCCCAATCTGCTTAAGAATAAGGTGATAAGATCAAGAGACTAATGAGACTAGCTTATCCCAAAGCAATTGTTAAGGTTCATAAATCAGTGAGAGGAGAGTGTGGGTGCGGAGGCTCAGATGACACATTTGGGTCGCACAACACTGACAGCCACAGAAACACTTCCACAGCACACCACCAGCGGACACGTTTATCGATACCTCCTGTGCTTGAGCTGAGAGGGTCAAGCCTTTTTCTCAGCTTTCTTTCTCCTGTACGCAGCTATATCCTCAGGTTTGAGCCCATGATTGTCTTCCCTGAAGCAACACGTGGACAGTTTGCAGTTTTTGTGTAAGTCCACAGTTGTTTAGCCGGAGCAGACAATAGCTACGTGTTGATTGAACTGATTACACCTATCTCTTAAATCATAAATGCAGTTTCTATGCAAATCTGGAAATGCAAACTCTGGCAACAATGCAGATCATTTGAAAATAGGATGGTGTTAAAAGTTGGCTTTCAAGCAATTTAAATTTGGAACTTCCTTTGTTCACCTCTTCCCAGTTAAACAATGCACATTTGCGAGGAGTAAAACAGGACAAAATCTCTTACCCTGGTTTAATCTCTGGTGGTTTTGGCAAAGGTTTTGTGAAGTTTGTTTTCCCCACAAGCCAGTATGTCTCCTCAATACCTTTACCCTGCGAGAAAATTAGGAAAATGTTCATGCGACCCTGGTTACGAGTCAGTGGCTCTGCGAATTATTAAGATCTTCCAAGTCCATTACCTTCAACTCTGTCTTTCCTCGAACATCTATCTTATAACCATCATTAAGAGAATGGAGGATCTTCACCGTAGTCAAATTGACATGGATTCTATAAGCTGAAATGAGAAAAGTCGGCACAAACATCAGTGAAGGCAAGCAAACAAAAGAAATACATGTCTCTATACATGTCTCTGTAATGTGAAAAAAAGGATACTCACGCAGACCAGTGGATTCCATACGAGAGGCAGTGTTGACGGTGTCTCCAAAAAGGCAGTACCGAGGCATGGTCAGGCCTACTACGCCAGCAACACAGGGCCCTGCAGACACCCAGTAGGCAAGCAAAGATTTCTGAGCGCAGGTCCACAAAAAGCAAGATGTGTCCACTTTGAGGATCGATTCCACCTGAAGAGTCCAAATTTGGGGCCACTATGACAAAATTCATTGTCAAACTGTCATTATTTTACCGGACTTCTGGTAAAATTGACCAAATAGTCAGACCACGCGTGTTGTAAAATGTTAAATATGACTGTCAGTTTTTTGTGTTTTCTGAAAAGCTTGGAAAATGTCCTATTAAAAATGATCTCATGAGCGTGTCCATATGTACTTTAAAGCGGGGCGTTATATCGATATAACAGCATGTTAACAATTCAAAACTGTTCAACTCACACTGGAGTCTGTTTGGCTCATAAGTCAGAAGGAATGTGTGTTTATTTTAAAACAGATTTTTTAAAACTCTGAGTGTCCTTCTTGCTGACGTTTAAGATTTTGAACTAAAAATGTAAGACTTCATCTGTCACAATCATGACTGAAGTATCACTGTTTTTTTTTTTCATTAAATCATTAAATATACTTGTTTAGTTTACTTGTACTTTAAAGATTCTGCATTGATGTCGATCAGCTTATCAATTATGCATTCACGTCCCTCAAAGTTTCCCTTCCTTTTTCATCACCTTCCTTCCTGCTTTGGTTTCAGCAGATGCAAATCTTTTCGGTCCGATAGAATTATAGATTATGATTATTCATCTGATGCTAAATCCCCCCGTGTTTACATAAATGTATGCACATCTAAAATAGGGAAGGGGGGAAACGGCTGGCTCCCATTGTAGTGCTGCTTAGCGAGGTCTACATTGAAAGGGGTTAGCTAAGCCAGATCGCCTTAAGCTAACCTGGATATAAATAACTTGCCCTTACAGGTCAGCGCCCTGCCTTCAACCAGCCCACCTGAATGAATTCCTATTCGTATCCTGACGGGCACATCTGGCATGTGTCGCATATGGAAGGAGCCCACTGAGCTGAGGATGTTCAGGGACATGTTTGCAATCTCAGCAGCGTGCTTGTTGCCATTTCTCTTGGGCAGGCCGGACGCTACCATGTAGGCGTCACCGATGGTCTCCACCTGGACAAAGACATTTACATCGGTCAACAGGTTTTTTTAATGGCATACCATGCATCATTCATGACCTGGGTTGATTTTGTTTTCTCATTCTCATTTACTTGCACAAATACACATCATATACCCATGTCTCATGAGAGCTTATGGCCTTTGAGCGCTATTCCGTGTATTCTCTGACCTTGTAGACGTCGTGGTTACTGAGCACGGCATCAAACAGCGTGTACAGGTCGTTGAGAAGGTCTACCACCTCGATGGGATCGCTGAGCGAGGAGATGGTGGTGAAGCCCACAATGTCGCTGAAGTAGATCGTCACCTGATCGAAGTACTCCGGCTCCACTGTGCCGCCGGTCTTCAGGGCCTCTGCCACAGACCTGGGGAGGGGGAGAACAGTCGTGAGAGTTGGACTATCAGGCGTCGAGCCGTCACATTTCCCGTCCGTGTCCGCGTCCGCCTCTGTGTGAACTCACGGTGGGAGCATCTCAGACAGCAGCTTCTCCGTCCTCTGCTTTTCTACTTCCAGCTCCTCTGTTCTCTCTCTGATGAGGTCCTCCAAGTTCGAACTGTACTGCTCCAGCATCCTCAGCATGGAGTCGATGATGTTGGTCTTCTTACCCTTGTTGATTGTCTTGAACTGTTTTAAATTTTACAAAAAATGAATAAATAAATAAAATACAAATCAAATCGGCATAGAATCTGACTGAAAAAGGTGTACCCTGTCAAATATCTCATCGAAGTTGGGTCTGCGGTCAGGCAGTTCGCTCCAGCACTGCTTCATCAGCTGGATGCATTCAAGAGGAGCCTGATCCGGTGACACAGTAGGACGGCACATTGGGGGAGGCTTCTTCACCTTACGGATGATTTCTGAGGATACGAAAAAGAAAGAGGGCACATTCATCCAGTTCCACATAAGGATATGTACTGGTACGTTGTCACAATGTGTCTGGAACGGGTTGAGATGGTGGTAACAACTGCAAACAACAATTAATGGGAAGTAAAAAAAACAACAACAACCGAAACATTTATGGGAATCTTTCAGAAATTTTGTGGATGACTGCACGGAAGAACAGTCAAACAGATTAATGCAAAATGCATCATTTATAAAATCAGCCTTAAGGATGCGTTCCAGGATGGTCATAGCTGTTCATTCAGCACACAGTGAAGATCCCATAGATAACCATAGAATGACTATTATATCTAATTATATGAACAGGATCCATTCAGGAAAGATTTAATTTCCCTTTAAGGGTAAATAACATATAATAGATAAAGCAATGTGAAGCTGTAGTATCCAGGCATTCTGGCTAATCTGCTTTAAAAACAGAAACAGCCAATGTCCATCACAGAATCAACTAACCCAACTTAAAACCCTCTCAGTCAAAGAAAAATAACCCAAAAAATTGGACTGAGTGTTTTCAGGCTGTTTCAAGGTAATCTGTCAGTGGTTTCAGAATATTTCCACTGACAAACCTCACTCAGTTTTTAGCAAAGGATGAAATGTGATTTTTCTTTCAAACTTCCTCACACTTTTCTCACCAGAAGGTATATCATAAGAGAATCAGTGCTTTAGTTTTTTTTTTTCATCATCTAGAGAAGCTCTGCAGGGTCCATTTTCAAACAGGAGCTCCCAATAAGCAAGTACTTGGGTGATATGATGCTTCAAACTGTTTAAGTTTTGAAAAGTAGAGCTTTACCACAGTCTTAGCTCCTGCAAGGCAGGTTTCACTCAGGATTCTTCATGTTTGTGGGAAAGAAAATAGTAAACGAGTAAAACATCTATAACATGTTGAGGTTATGCATGGTTCTTACACCAAGTACAGAATCATGTAGTAATTTAGTTCAGCTTTTGCCCATGTTGACTTTTTTTATATAATTGGAGACAGGATCCATTTGAGCTCAGCCAATCAGATCTCAGATCATAATTTGGGATACTTGTGTAAGTTTGATTTTCCAGTTTTGTTCAATTGTGTTCTCAGTATTATTGTGTGGCGTCTTTCTCTTCCCGTGTGACGAAGGCTCACCCTCAGGAGGCAAATCCAGCATGCAGTACGGCGGCCCTCTCACCACCACCTCCTGAAGAATAATTGAAAAACTATACACGTCGCCTTTGTATGTCCCTTTGCGAGAATTTGCGAGGTCCCGCAGGAACTCTGGAGCTGTCCAGAATAGTTCTGAGAAAAAGAAAGGAAGCATTTAGGTACGGAGCATCAAATGTGTCAGAGGGACATCATCCTCAGTGTTTTTGAACATTTCCACCATTAAGTTTCATTTGATAAGTCACAACTAATGGTAAAGAGAATATTTTTGTTTTATTGTCCAGAAAAGGTGATACCCTCAGGTGGGGGCTCTTCCAAGGGAGCTTTCTGAGACTCCAGCAGCTCGTTGAAGCCATAATCGGTGATCTTGAGGACAAACCGTCCATCCACCACACAGTTTCGCGATTTTAGTCTTCCATGAGGGAAGTCCCTGTGGTGAAGATACTTCATCCCCTGGAAAAAGAATGTCAGCAGATTGTTTTGTTATTTCATTGAACATGTAGTGAAACAATGTGTTCTGATTGACAAGCAGAGCTGTATTAATCTACCATGACAACAATGAAACCTCTTGATATTAGATTGATGTTTACCTTAATAAGATCGAGTAAAAGGGAGGACTTAAACATCCAGTCTAATTTAACATCCTCGTTCCGCAGCAGGTCCTGCAAACTACCCCGGGAACAGTGCTCTGTAACCACTGCAAACATGGAGGGGTCCATGAAGAAGCCCAGGAAGGGATTTACGTTCTCGTTTCTCAGGTCTTTCATCTAAATGTGGAGAGAGGAAGGATATAAAGAGAGTTGGGATCCCCTGTCTAAATCCAGTATCACTTACTAACGGAACCAAATCAGATTCTACTTCATGACTGGTTCACGCTAGAATAAAAAAATGACAAAAACTTGCTCTACCTTTGTGAAAATCCTGGTGCTGCTTTGTTTCACTTCCTTAAAATGACCTTCCTCAAATTTCTTCAGCCAAACCCAGTCACCCTAGAAGAGAGAGAATTCTGTAAGCACTGAATAAAGTTTGTTTGTCTTTGTCTTTAGTTGATAAAAAAGGGAAAGAAACAAACAAATGTTTCAAATTGTGAAATGATGTGTCACAGAAACTATATCTGTCCCTGTGTTCAGTGTTCAAACCAGAGCCTATAAATGGGTTTATCAATCACTGTGATGTCATCAGAACGTTAGACATAAGTGTCTTGACTTTTTTTTTAAAAGTTTTTTTTCTATGGCATATGTGAGATGTAATCACAATTAGACAAAATCTTGAGATGTGGGCAAAAAACTCAAGTTGCAAGGCATGTTTCAGAGGGCACTTCCAGTTAAATTCCCCAGCGGAGAAGGGAAATGTAACCAGTGATTCATGCCCTTTACAAAAGCTGTTCTTGTATGACCACGTGCAATATCACCGCACTTTCAAACGTTCTGTGGAAATGGAAACAGAAGGAGGCATACACGGCTGCCCCAAACGCACAATCCGATAAGGTTATTTCGAATGAGTTTTCCATTACATGCTGCCTTGCGTATTTGTAACACGTCCTTCCATGTAAGTTACCTCATACACTGCTACGCTGGAATTCTCTTGAGTTGCCGTCTGCATGCTGTTCACAGAGTGCGAGGGATCTGCAGATTTCTCATCCAGAGCGCTCTTGGACTCGCTCAGATCCTCTAAAGTGATTTTCTGCAAAACATCAAATCCATCAAAGATGCTGCTGGAATTTGTTGCTATAAAAAAATGTTCTTGATCAAAAATTGAAAATGGGATAATTCAGAGTATAAAAATGGAAAGCATAGTGTAGCGATGTCGGTGTTGATGATGACGTTAATGTGTTGATGTTAATGATGACGTTTGGGTGCCACTTACCTTTCTGCTAAGCTGGGGATTGATAAAAGTAAGATCCTCTAAAGTCAGGAGGATACGATTGGGACCTTTGACCAGCTGGATTTGTTGAAGTCTCCTCCTGCCAAAGGGATGCAGAAACATGAGGAATTAAATTCCACAAAAGTCTTTATTGGACCCAATAGCTGCCACCAGATGTTTCCACAGGGCCTACCGAATGTAAAGACTTATGATCAGGCCTCCCACAGCCAGACTAATGGTGACAACCAGTACTATTATGATGTAGGCCACCTCCACACCTGTGGATGAGAACACATTTTGTTTTACAATTTTGGAAATTAAGGTGATAAGTGAATGACAATGTGCAAAGAACAGAGGCTAACGCATACACATGAGCACTACAGCATTCTACGGCATTTTACCTCCTGTGCAGATGGCAATCTCTTCAAACCAGCAGCTGGAGTCAGCAGGCGGGGGGGATCCTCCTGGAAATTTAATGGACCTCCCGGAAAATCTGAGCACTCGTGCTTTCATGTCCACCGTGTAGGCCTGGTACAGCTGACTTCCCGTCATGTCAGTGTCCAGGATGACATAGTTGGTCTGAACCTCTCCGTTGTTGTCCACCTTGACCTTCTGATTGAAGCCATTGAAAGTTGTGTTCTTTGTGAAGTAGGCCAAGTTTGAGCCTGACAGCTGCATGCCTGCTTTTCTGGCATTGTGGATGGACTTGGCCAGCAGGTATATGCTGTTGTAGATGGTCCCAAACAGTGGATGAACCTGAAGGTCACAGTAAGGTTTTTACCAAGGGTGAAACAGAGAACATGAAAAATGTCCAAAACATTCAAAATAAAACATGATAAAAAAAAATACACAAATGAAATGAATAAGCAGTATGATATAATGTACACTTTGAAAGTTGTGTTGTTTTGTATAATATGAAATCAAATGTATAGGCATGTGATGAAGGTGTGGATGATTATGACAATGGCAACTGAAAACCAATGAATGTTTTTCCATACACTAGCCACTTGTACAATCATCTCTCAAAGAGGCCCTGAATTTTACGGATTTAAATGATACATAATTTAATCTTAAAAGAGGATATATGTTTTTTTCCCCTGAAAATATTATGAACACACCTCGGAATTGTTGAATGTTTTTTTTTTATTGAAGTGGAGCTAAGGAAAGCTCTGACACACTTTCTGTTGGATTTCTGTTCAAGCATAAAGATGCAAGATAAAAAATATTCAAATTTCTCTTTTACACTAATGGGTTTTTTGTATTGTTGCCTGTGTGCAACCGACAACACCACACCAGAAGGAAGGTGTCTGTTAGCTGAAACTCTGCCAGGATACTCCGCATTTCCTGTTCACTTCATTGTATTCGCATTATGCCCGCCAGTGACACAACCTCAAACAGGGGCCAGTTCGGTTGGAAAAAGCTGTCTCATTCTGTTTCCATCCAATTGGTTGGTAGTGACTTCCAAAGCAAGACATAACAAAGGATGTCAAACTATTGTCAAGAGTTTCCTCCCGGTATTTTCTCCTTAAATCTTAATCTATGCCGGGCATTGGTTCCTCAAATGCATCACAGAAATCAGAGAGGTCTCGAGAAAACTGAGAGAGATTGGAACTAAAATGAAGTAAAATGGAACTACTGTCTTTATGGATGCAGCCATGCATAGTGTGGGGGGCAAATGATTCTTGACTGTAATAGCCAACCATCCTATGAATGTCCAGAGGCGATTTCTTGAAGTCTTTATACCTGCTCTGCCTGCACGGGCATCTCAATTTCCCCGCTCCTCCTGGCAGCAGTGAACGCCTCGTTGAAGGACAGAGGCTCTGAGGCCATAGTGATGGTGAGCACGGCGTCGTACGCCTCCCTCAGAACGCTGTTGTTTTGCAGAGGGAAGTAGGAGATGTTGGAGTAGGGGAGGCTGTAGAGGAGCGCGTCGTACGGCACGAACACGTACTTCCCAGAAGTCATGCCCAGCCTGTGCGCCTTCATGAGAAAAGTGCCCTGCTGCTCACCTCCAAGCAGGATGGAGTGCATGCACATGATAATGACTGGAAAAGAACAAACAAAAAGAATACAATACTAGCTCAAGTAGGTGGTATATGGGACCAATTCAAATGGCTGCTAAAGGTCTGAAATGAAGTCAGAAATCATTTAATTAAAAAGCAGTTTGGGTGGTCTGGGATTTTAGGGTGATGACCACATAATTGGTTATTCCGGGGAAACTTTTACTGCTCATAGTTTCTCTTCTGAAGCTCAGACACAAACAATGAGTTACAGTGGAGCCACAATGCAACTTAGAGATCAGTGACTTGCCCAAGGACACTTTGACATGTAGCTTGGAGTAAAACTGTCATCCATTAACAGGTGACTGTGTTTTCCCTCTAACCTGTTGCCACCCATACATGTGAAATAATTGTGTAGCTGCCTCTGGTAATTTTGCCTGTTCAGAGCTCAATCAGTGATGTCTGAAATGTTGTCAAGCTGTTTGAGGAGAACATTTCATTTGCAAATGATCCAAATAGAAGGTGGGGAGGAGAATAGATTGTTCATAGTTCATAAGGCGAGCTCTTTGATGTCTTTTGCAGAGACCAAAACGAGGTGAATACAAGGAGGACATCAAGCAAATCAACTCAAACGTTTGGGCATTTTTCAAAGCTCCTCCTGCTTTGTTTCCTCTGCTCTGTAAGCCTTCAATGAACTCAACAAATCAACACTGGTGAAAGCAATCAAACTGAGTTGGAGTCCCCTGGGTGAAACGTTGAGTTGTCAAAATGGCCTCCTGATCAGATGATGCTGAGATAAGCCATCTTAAGAGAACAGCTATGAATGCGTGCATTGTGTGGCGATTGCGTAACATTTCGCTGTTCAGCAAGCCAATTAAGCTCTTCTTCAGCCTTTTCGTGCATTCTAATTCACAGACTCACCCTTTATTGGTCCTGCATTTTTGATCTTCCACAGCGTGCTGTCCACCTCTGTGTCGTTCATACCCATGGCCGTTACCAGGACGACGGGGAGCCCTCTCCTCCGGAGAGATGCGGCCACTCTGGTGGCGGTGTCTATCCAAAGGTCTTCATTGGACGAGACCACCACGGAGCTGGCCCACCTGTAGTGCTTAAAGACGGTGAACAGCACCTCGGCGGGGAGCGGGATCGTCCAGGCAAACGTCGGGTACCCCGTGGCGCGGTCCAGCTCGAAGGTGACGCAGCTGAAGGAAAGGAGAGCCTTGTCCCAGTTCTTGGCCAGTAGAGACGCCGCGATGCAGTATCCCGGGTTCGAGGAGCCCACAAAGGCGTCTGCTGATTTGTCATAGTAAATGTACGCCGTCAGCGCTTTGGAGGTTTCGCAAGGCTCCTGGAGGATGACGAAGTCCATTTTCAGACCCAGATCCAGATTGAGATCTCCATTTATCCTGCTCACGGCGAGTTTGGCCGCCGCTGTGGGAAGGGCCCTGTAGTAGACCGGGTCGCAGTTCCACGGCCCCAACACCCCCACTTTGAATATCAAACAGTGGACGCAGCAAGGGAAAGTGAGCACGCCCAAGAGAACCCATAACATAAAGTTACAGAAGGGCAGCGCCGGTATAGTTTGTCTACTTTTTATTATGGGCACACATGGATGGTTGGACTCCCAACCATTTGGAGGAATATCTTGCATTGTCCTTCCAGGGTGTCCAAGAGAGTGAATATTTATATTCACTTTTCAGTTACAACCCTGACTCCTGCAAAACAGACAAATAGAAGTCTTTAAAATGTTTTAATCTTCAAAATAAAGATGAAAGTCACACTGTTTCTCTTGAAAAAAAAAAGTTTACCATTTCTTTAGCGCCATCAGGACAGCTTCGGGATCCGATGAGACAATCTTACAGGCGCCTTCTCGGATCTTTACGTCTGTCTTCGCCAAAAAAAAAAAAAAAAAAGTTGCAAAGTCAACTAATCATCCCCGATCTTACCTATTCACTCCACTGTCGTTCCAGTGAAGACACAGTCCGGTCATTGTGTTCGGATTAGGGGCTGGAGGTGACAGGTAGAGTTCTAGAGCGTTGGGAGACAACTTCAGCACCCTGGAGAGCTACTTACATCCCGCAGTCAGCGCCTCTGAAGGCTTCTGGGCGTCCCTGGGTGTGTCTATAGGCAACATGTCTAAAAAAAAAAAAAGGGTAAATAAAAACTTCTGGTCTGAATATTTTCCAACACTTCTACTTCATTCCTTGGAAAAAATGTCCAAAATGGGCAAACGGCGACCAAATCCAGATGGGTTAACCCCAGTTGCGTATTCGGGGGAAAAGGGAGAAAAAGATTTGGTGCATTGTGAGTATAGCGGGCCGGTGTCAGCTACAGGCCCATTCAATCAAATCCCTCCAAAGTGACCCGGGTCCCAAACGTAAGTGTTACTCGCTAATCCATTTTCAGTGAGGCACAATATAAGAGGATTGACTGCAGGCCTTAGTCTACACTAAGGGTGTCAGGGTATAGGCCTTTTGCCTCGTAGAAGTAGCCATAAAATATTTTATGATAAATGTTCTCTTATTACATTTTAGATGTATCAAGATATAGGGTTTAAATGGACACTCAAAAAAGACAAAAAAAAGTCCTATAAGTCTATTGTCAGATAGACGCTTTGGATAAAAGTGTCTGCTAAATGCATAAAGATAAACAGAAGTCTGAGCCTCTACACAAAGTAAACACAGTGGTAAGTATCCAGTTCACAAACATTTCTGAAGTGCAGATCGGGGTCAATTTTCTCGCCATGGCGACACATCCCAGCCACCTGTACCGTGATTTAATTGGCATGATATGCCTACAGTACAGCAGGGCCCGTAGATTAAATGACTCGGAGTCCTTGGGGTGGGAGTGATTAGAGATAACAAAGGGTTTTCCCCCGTGGGTCTCATGAGCTCTGCTGCGTTTTGCGTGCGTCAGTCTTATCGGACCCTTTTGAAAGAAAAAATAAAAAGGAGCTTGCCTTCCAAGGAGATAAGGAGAGCTGGTTGCCACAACATCAACACATGGCACTGATGGGGACAAAATGGTGGAAGGTAAATCTAAAGACATAATAAATAAAAAACACGCTTCCGACATAAAGTAGAGAACACAAGGAGACATTATTCAAAGATGGGTTTGGCAGGTGGCATGAATAGTTCAGAAAACATCGGATCACAGCTCTCTGTGTGTGTGTGTGTGTGTGTGTGTGTGTGTGTGTGTATGTGTGTGGGGATGGGAGAGAGAGAGACAAACAGACAGAGAGAGACACATATCCATTGATTCTCTTTGACCAGCGTTTCACCAAGTCTTTACTTGTTTCCAGAACTTTAACAGTTTGAGAATGATTCTCTCATGTCTCTACCTGACCTCTGTGCCCTGAAAACAAAGCGGGAAAAAACATTTATGTAAAGAAAATATCCGAGAAATGTATTAGTTATGTGAGTATGGGGCTGGTAAGTGATTCCACCTTTGCTGACCTATATCACCCCCCCCCTCCACCCCTCCAATGCAGCTCCATAAGCTGAAGAGCTTCTTAAACGTAACACCTTGACAGTGCTGTCCTGCATCCAGGAATAGAGGAGAGAAATGATGACACAGCGTAACATCCGCACACTGAACACAGCCCAGCTCCACGCTGCTCCTGAGACGAGCTCTGGGCCGCTCTGTGCAGAGTTTCCACGTCTGCCAGGCAGAAGGGAGTCACTTTATGAAGCAAAAACATCCAAAATACACCAGGATCCTTCATCTCAGTATCAAATATGCATCAAGAAAGCAAAACATAAAATGCAAAGTATGCTAGAAGAATATGAATGATCAAACGTGTCCTTGGACTGATCAAATAGGATAATGAAGGGATGGAAATGAATACATGAATAGAAAGTAAATGGAGACTTCAGGGAATTATCATTTTTTTCTTTGAGGTGCATTTTTTTTACATTGATGCGTGCAGAGTCCATCCAATGGACCTTGAATGTTGCTCGTGCTACAACAATGAAGGTTACAACAGCTATTACGGACTGGATGGAATCTGTCCTTCATCTGAAACAAAGTTTTAAAAAATTAAAGATTTTCTTCTTTTTTTTAATTAGGGGCAGTAATCCTAGTACAGTCATTTAGTTTGTGCCTATTATGTGTTTGATTTTCATACAGAAATAATGACACGACCAGTTCCAAATAAACGGTGCAACATGTATTTATTTATTGTTTTTATTTCAACTAGAAGGTTTAAAAACAAAACAAAGTGCTCACAGCTATAAGACAGAAGTCATTAGTATGAGGGAACACGATGGGTTTCCCACCCGCCTGCTTCCTCCAAAGGGGAGGCCTCAGGCGTGTAAGGCCTTGTTCATGGTGTGATGCCTCAGTGAGAATGTCTTTAGCTCTGATTCCATCTAGTGGACATGCAAGACAGCTGCAGTTTTCAATGTTTGGCCTCGGGATTTACATTTTTGGACACAAAGCCCTGTTTTTAAAATGAAGCTGGTGTGTCATTATCGCACACTCCAAAACCAGGGGAAACAACCCACATCTAAAAAGGTTCATGTTTAACTTTTACTGCTGGAAATTAAAAGTCTGGATATATTCTCTGTGTTAAGGCTGTGTGTGTGTGTGTGTGTTTGTGACTATGACAATACATGTGCATCACTAGTTAGAATGGGGAACTACAGGTTCTCTTTTTCCACCACAATTTTGGTTTGAGAGTTCTGCGAGGCTGTTATGACATTCCGCATTCTGAGAGATATGTGTGTGTGCGTGTGTGTGTGTGTACAGGGGGTTGAATGTGTAACACAAGCTGACAAGCCAAGGCAGGCTCCTTCACCACTCACACCACTACATGTACTTTCACTTTAGTTTAGCTTTTTTAAATAAAAAAAGCAGGCCTCGGTGTCTGTGTGCACGCCTTAGACTGTGGTGTTCCCTTGAGAGTGCATGTGTGTGTGCTGAGATTGTGTCATGATATCCTGAGTACAACAATGACCGTGCAGATGAGGAATCGAGGCCCCCTTTCAGCTTTATGTGAGCTGCACCATATGTTTGTCATAAATGGTCCCACTTGACCAGTGTGTTTTCAGCTCCGACAGTATGATCATGTTTTGCTAAATCATCTACACCCTGTGGCCAAAATTTGACCCATTGTTACATGTAGAAACTGTTGTGTTATATTTGTTGGCTTGTAAAGTGCTTGAACATGACCAAACCTCTTATTTGTCAAACAAAATGCAAAGTAACTATAGAAATATTTGACTGATTTGGCCAGTTCAAACTTACATAACCTTTCAATGTATATAATGCAGAAAGATTGTTTTCTGTGAGTTGCAGATTATGAATTGAAATGCTTGTTAAGCTTCAACAGGAGCAGTCCGGGCTTCCGTTGACATTATTTCTCATCAGTTTGATCAAAAACTGAACTTGAGGCCAAATCAAGCTCTCCGCCTATCGTTGCGCAACATTCTCTTCTTCAGCTCCTCTTTGCATGCACGACGCTGCAACAAGACTGGGCCCGGACAAGAAGTAGAAAAAAAAACACGCTCAAAAGAAGACGCAGGCCGGAAGCGTCCCTTGTGATACTTTAGAAATAAAAGTATTTTCTTTTTACATTTTTGGGTGATGAACTTTGTTGTTCAAACAGTTGTATTCCATCCATTCCTGCTTCACGGTTAAGAAACATCAAACCCTCTATCAGTGTATTTACCATTGATTCATGCATTTAAAGCGTTTCAAGATAGGTCAACAACAGAATTTATCTATGGCGCGGGAACAAATTGGTAAGATTTCAAGTTGGTGCTTCACAGAGAGGACACATCTCAAGTCGGGCTGTCAGTAACAGACGCAGCCTGGAAAAACGTTGCTCTGTTGTGAAGTTCTGCAGCATGAAAGCAAATAATACGATGCATTACTTTGCAAGAGCAAAGACATTAGTTTCTGCCACTGTTATAATCAAATATATGAACAGTAGTGCCTTGTTAAGCCAGGAATCACAATGCTAACCAACGGCTCAGCACTTGATTCCACCACGGCTCTATTCAGCCTACTTTCCTTAAACACAACATTTTCTTTTCTTGTCTTGTGGTAGTTTTATACAACTCTGAACATCAATGATAGCTTTAACTACAAAAATGACACATTTGGACCACTTAACTTTCCCTTCGACCCGCTGAAACTGACAGTGCACAGACAGGTTCTTTAGTGTCCAATGTAAACATGAGAAAAAATATGATTCACAGCCACATACTGCTTTCTGTTTATCGCCTGTTAAACATTTGGTATTGTTAGTGTGTGGTCGAGATTTTTAACCCTTGATATTTTACTCACAGGAAAACGCTAAAGCGTTTTGGTAGCTTAATTCAACTCTCAAATTTTCCAATGAAAAGAACAATGAAATGAAGGCCCCTGTTCAGGTGAAACGGTTCGCCCTGTGCGCTTTTATTTTGAAAGCAACGGACCGGAAACACTCGAGTGTCGCACGGTGTCTGGCTTAATGGTGGAATTTCGAAAAAAAAAAAAAAAAAAAGCTCTCAGAGAACGGGCAGGCAGTACTTCACGGGGATGGGAACACGCGAGTGTAGCCCAGCTCTGCCAGCAGCCTGACAGCCTATTCCGGCGGAGCGGGCACACGGAGCCGGGACCCGCCGAACCGGAGAGAGGGGCCGACGGACGGGCACACGCCAGCCGACGGGACGCGGCCGGGGGCTGGGGCTCAAAATGGGAGCGGTGGAAGGAGTTCGGCCGAAGAGCGGAACGTCCGGATGAAAGTCGCCAAAAGTAAGCAACTTATTCCGAGCACGTCCCGTCCCGAAGTGGAAAGTTATTGACAAGTGAGACCGTTTTATTCCCGCCAGCTGACACCTTTCCATGAAGCTTTTTTCAAAAACCATTTTTAATTTTTTTTATCGCCCAGTGTGGTTTCGGTCGTTTTTAAGTGTTTATTAGGAGACCTCCCGGGTTTGTCCCGGCTGGACTGACCAGACTCTTGGGTGTCGTTTCCTAAAATTACTCCGAACAGCACACTTAAACACACACACACAGACACACACACACGCGCGCATACACACACACTAAAAGAGACAACCTCGCTGGTGCGTGGGGAGTGTTGTGGGCTATGTCCGCGCGGGAGACGTGTGTGTCGTTGGGTGTGTGCGTGTGTGTGTGTGTGTGTGTGTGTGTGTGTGTGTGTGTGTGGGGGGGGGGGCTGACAGCTGAAGAGGGGCGTGGTGGACTGTGAAAGGTAACGTGAACGTTACTCGGGAGGAGCGCGTGGGACTCGGAAGCCACGCGGAAACGGTGCACCGGCGGAGCCCGCGAGCCACCGGCGGTTTGCCACGTACGGCTGCGCGAAATCCGATCCGCACACACACACACACACACACACAGACACGCACACACACACACACACCCTCCCCAGGGCAGAGCCACGCTGGATGGCTTTGTGGGAAAAGCACAGTCGGGACAAAAGTAGTCACAGCTGACTCTGCCTCGTAAAAAAAAAAAAAACCTCAGGAAAGATGTTTAAATGCGCGCCGAGGCGTTAGGCTGTGGCAAGGACAGTTGGATTTATGGGAGGGGAACATCTGCAAACTCGATTTAAAGTGGCATCCACAAGAGCTCGAGCCAGCCCCTCAAATCTAGAATGTATTGTTGTTTTTTTCTCTAAGTGGCCAGACTTTCTTGTAATCTGCTGGTCAATAAGCTTTCCAGGATTGCTGGCTGTCTTTTTGAAGTGGTTCTTCCAACGCTGGCTGCTTTCGGACTCGTTTTGGGTGCCTTTCCTGTTGTTCTGTTCCTGCCAGTCCGTGGGAAAGACACATCATTTGTTTCCAGTTCTTTTTTTCGCCTCTATGAAAAATGCCAAATATAACAGCGTGTGACAGTAGGAAGTAAATAAGAGAAAAAGAAGTAGAAGACCAGAGAAGAGGCGCAGAGACTGGAAAACTTATCTACAGATGATGAACAGTGAGCGGTGTCAGACAGAGGGAGACAAATGCAGCAGAGGCTTGAAATAGGAAGGATGCATCTGGGCCGTCGGCAGGTCCACCTGCTTTTGGCCAAAACCTCATCAGAAATGGGTCAGTGGTGGAGAGGCCGTTCTTAATGGAGAGGGAAACGGGGCAGAAACGGCTGAGCTGCGCATCGTGACCCAAGAAGTGGACGGACAATCGGTGCCAGTAGGTTTTCTATTACTCGGAAGTTAGAATTGAGGCAGACTCTGGGAACATAAGGCAGAAAACCTCTAAAGTAGAGCTGCGAAACATGCTTCACGAAGCTGAGAGACAACTCAAAAAGAGGTACAAAGGAAGCTTGTCTAACGAAGTCCATGCTGTTTTCAGTAAATGGAAAAAGAAGATGACCTTTGAGACTAATTTGAATCGCACGAGCTTTCTCTTTGCCTGATGTGATGCATTTCCCAGAATGGTTTAGGATTGATTGAATCACAACCCCGGTTTTCATGCTTATTCTGAGAGAGAAAAAGAGGGGGGTCCTAAAGTAAATCGGCTGACCTCCCCTGATACCAGTCCCGCAACACATACTGAGGTGCTGGGAAACAAAATGTTGACATCAACCGCCTTGAATTGCACATGGATTTTATTCAAACTTTAAAAAAATCTACTGCCAATTCTTCTGTCATTCATTCAGCCCCCCTAAAAAAACTCACTCCAATGAGCAGTTCAGAAATGACAACCCCCCCTCATAAAAAAACAAACAGAACAAAAACCGTAAACGTTGGCATCCACTCTCCAGCTCGAGGCTTTCCGTTGCCACCTAATTGTTTTAAAAGTCTCAACTACCATCAACTTAATTTAGAGTCCCGGCCTGCCCCTCGCAGTCACGCAACCCTTTGGCTTAAAAGGATTAAAGTGGCATCCATCTTCTAAGTACACCATTTTTTCAGTCTTGGACTTGAAGCTTGAATCGGGGCAGAGTGGTCTCGAACCGGGAGCGCACGCGAGCGTCGGATTGCACGTCGCGCAAAAGGAGGGTGGGATGAGGGCGTTTTCATTCTCAACCACAGAGAGGATGGAGTCATAAAAACTGTTAACGCGCTTTGATAATAGGATCACTACAGGGATACCTGTCGTATTATGTGCAAACTGATGAGTTAGGTTTTAGATACGACCCCGCAGCCTCGGGCACGTCAGCATCCAGCTGCTGTCTTGGTCTTTAGGAAGGTGCAAAGGGGGCCTTTGAAAGTGAGAAGGTTGCTGGGGCCGAGAGTTCACACACCCTTGCCAAGTGCCCCCCCTTTGCTGGGGTCGTGGGGCGTGATTGCGGTCGTTTGAACGGGCCTGATTTGAGGGCAGGCCGGCGTGCGGTTCGCTTTCGGCTCAGATTTATTGGTGAGAGTCTGAGAGGAACACCTGGTGCGAGGGGTCCACCGCCCACACAGCGCGGGGGGGGGGACACACGAGAGAGGCCGTAAAAAAAAAAACAGGGCAAAGGAAACAAACCGCCAAAGACAAGCGTGATGCAGGTAAGAGAAAGCACACGGTGGCGCGTTTCCCACGGTTAGTGGGCGCGCAATGCTGTCCGGAGTTTGGGGATAAACTTACAGCAGGCTGGTGGGAGCCTTTTCCCTTTGACAGCTAATGACCGATATAGGTTCGGAAATGAGGGCGAAAACTTGATGTATTCGTTCGCCCTTTAACTTGGCTCCCGTGGACGGGGTTCATTCCAGTTCATTCCAGTGGTCAACTCTGCAACCTTTTGAAGAGCTTGGCCGGACAAAGAGCCAGCGAAAGATTTGCGCACTTGTCTCGTTCAGGTCTCTCCAACCACGTTGGGCCAAAAGCAGCAGCTGCAGGGACTCAGACGTGCACTTTGTTTTTTCCACCGATTCCGTCTCGTCATCTTTACATAACAGGCCCGCAGAACTGCACAGTCAGATTTACATATCAGCCTGCCGGTGGACGCTGTGCAGAGGTTGAGCCATTGAGGGAGAACAAAAGGCTGCAGAGAGGTGAACGGCTCGGGTTTAGCAGACTTTGAGCCGCGGCAATCAGCCCGCATATGTTAACCCACAAGAACAATCCAGCTATGTGACCTCACCCTCTTACATAAGCCAGGATAAACAAACACGACCCCCCCTGACTTGCTCCTGAGAACATCTGCAACCGGAGCTACGGGCTGTTACTTTGCTCTACACTTCTGAAAAGTCATAAGATCTTTAACCTATCTAAAAGTGAAAATAACTTCTCTGCAAAGCAGTTATTTGCTGCACGTAAAAAAACAAAACAAACTTCCTAGCCTGATAAATCTGGAGCGCTTGCAGGAGGCCAGATTTTCTACTGAGGCGCTCATGGTGAAATCCCGTGTTTTTTTTTTTTTTGCGCCGTCACTTAGGGATAAACGTTTTCTGTCGGATTCCTTTTCAAGCGCGAGCCAAGCGGCGGCTCCAGCCGTGGTTGGCCGTCTGGTATCCCGCCCGCTCTGCGGCTCCAGGACAGCCTGACCATGACTGTACCTTTCGGCTGCTTACGCAACCCGTAACCTCTGTCCAGAGTTTTGCGCTCGCCGGAGCGCGCGTGCACGTGCGTTCATGTGTGCACATTGGCCAACATAAATCAGCATGGGTGAGAGGGGCTCGGTTTTCACTTCGCTCAGGTACGCAAAGAGGGACAGCTCTGAAACAGGTACGATGGGCTCGTCCCCCCAAACGGGGTTATGCTGTATATTACTGCTCCTTTTTTCGTTGGTTCCTGGCCTCCTTCACTTTGCATCCTTTGTTTATGTTGTCTTTAAAAGTAAAAACCGTTGTGGTGCTATTCCGGAGGCATTATTTCAGGGGAATTTTTTTAGATTTTACTTAAGACGAAGCACGAACAATGTGGGAGCTTGTTGTTTTGTTTTTTGTTTTTCCCCTCAAATTCTAAGACGGGACTTGAATTTCTGTTGCACTCGCACTTTCCCTTTTGCAGCCGCATAATGTCATGTTGGTGTGTGGGGCAAGAAATTGCAAATTAATTCATTGATCAAAGGAACTGGGTCAAACCCAGTGGGATGCAAAAAGGGAGGGAAATAGTGGCGGCTCGAGTTGCACAAATAAAGACTTAAAGTCCTTTCGGGGAGCTTAACAGCAGTCTTTAGGATGGTATTTGAACACCAGCAGCTCCTTGAATTTCTGGAGTCTCCAAAGAGGCATACTTGTGAGATGGTGGAACAAGGTGTTCCGATTTAATCGGGCTGATTGGGTTTCTAAGCTTCACAACAGCGGTGCTGTTTGAAAGGTTTTGAATGTAATGTATTCTTTCCTCCCACCCCCACCAGAGAATGATGGCACTTCTGGTGTGGCTTGGCCTGTCGCTGCTGGTGGCAGTCCGGTCCAACGCGGTCAAGAACTGCCACCCTGGGTGTCACTGCGAGGTGGAAAGCTTCGGCCTGTTTGACAGCTTCAGCCTGACCAGGGTGGACTGCCGAGGCCTGGGTCCCACCACGTCCATGCCCGTTCCCATCCCGCTGGACACCAGCCACCTGGACCTGTCCTCCAACGCCATGGGCCCGCTCAGCGACTCCATGTTAGCCGGCCCGGGCTACACCACCCTTGTCAGCTTGGACCTCAGCAGCAACCGTATCACCAAGGTAGGTGGCCGTCCTTAAAGCAGGCCATCCGGCTCCGAAGCACTGGTGGTTTTCAGTGAATAGTTTAGCAGTTTGGTGTCTTGTGTTTTTAAATGCGACCTCCTGCTAATGGTAGCCAATACCAGCAAATGTTGAATGGATGCCATTATACAAATTGTACACACTTACAGACAATAACTAAAAGCCATAAGCCCATAGAGATTTCACTCATTTAAAAAGTCAGTGTACAAGTTGGTGCATAAGCAAGCATAGCAATGGAGAACTAAGATTTTGAAGAAAATGAATTCCATTGTTGATACAAATCAACGAGCTTGCCATCAGTGTCATTTAGCTTCCCGTTCAAGCCGCCGTCCTTCTTAACTTATGGGTCATCTCCTCTCTGCTGCTTCACTTTCAGCTCAGCCCTAATGCCCTGTCCAAGCTGCGTTACCTCGAGAGTCTTGATCTGAGCCACAACAACCTGGAGAGCCTCTCACCAAGCTGTTTCTCCGGGCTCCCGCTGGCCGAAGTGGATCTCAGTCACAACGGCTTCCGGGAGTTCGACATGGACGTGTTCGCTACAAAAGTGAACGGGGAGCCCGTCACCGTGGACCTGTCGCACAACGGGCTGGTGTCGGTGTCCACTACGCTGCACGGGAAGGCTTTGCACATTCAGAGCGTAAACCTGTCGGCCAATCATCTGAGGAGTGTGCCAAGCCTGGCTGGACTCTCACTGAGGTATCTCAATCTGGACGGCAACCCCATCCCACGAATCCGAGAGGGAGCCTTTTCCCAGCTGAAAGACCTGGCTTATTTGTCCCTCAGTGGCCTCCAGGAACTGCAGGAAATTGAGCCGAACAGCTTCAAGGGCCTTCAGAGCCTCCAAGTTCTAGATCTTTCCAACAACTCCAATCTCAAGAGTTTGAGCTCCCTGGTGTTCAGTGGGCTGGACTCCCTGCAGGAGCTGAATTTGTCGGGCTCCGGCGTGGCGTCCTTGCCAACCACCATGCTGATTCACCTGCCGAAAGTGAAAAGCATCACGCTGGGAGAGAACATCCACTGCTGGAGAACCCAGAAGCAGGGACAGTTCCACCGGCAGATCGGCCAGGTCCAGCACGATGAGGTGCTGAACTGTAACACGGAGGGCATTGTGTTTTAAGACTGTGCCTGTGGAAACGGACCACTTCCCGCAGTCTCCTCCTCCTATTCCCGTGCCTTTATATAGAAAACAGGCTTCTGAGTTGCCTTCACTTGCCTAATTCTGTTCCAAGGAGATGCTGTGGGCTATACCTGAAAAGGTTTATTTATAGCCTTTTTTTTAAGAACTGCTTAAACACAGTGACTTATTCTCTGTATGTCTTAACGTACTAATTTGTTAGAAAATTGTATGAATCCTGTCATACAATCAATACCCTTAAGTGTTGGACTCATGTTCTTGCGTTTCATATGACCATTTCAAAGTCTTACTTGCACTTTCTTTGATAATGCATCTAAACTTGTGAGATGACATGCCTCTGTACTCCGTGCTCGCTCACAGATACTGAATAACATCTGACCGCGGAGAGCTCGCGTTTGACTTTAGATTTGACGGACAAAAAGACTGAAGTCAGAGGAGTATCTTCAGAAGCCCGGTGCCATTCTCATTTCCAATCCGTTCACTGTTCAAGCTACAGCAAAAACCTTCTTAGGTTAGCACAAAGAGTCATTTAGTCTGCCTTTTAATGAGTTAACGATTTGCATCTGGTTAGTTGAATCTATGCAGATCGCTAGCAGAGTTAAAGTTGAGCATCTCCAGGACTTGTGTGTGTGGAGAGGGGGAAGGGGGACTTTACCCAGTGTTTGGGTTGATTTTTAGAATTCTAACCGTTGCTTTTTTCACATATATGCTGTGACTTATCTGTGAAAAAACGACAACTTGTTAACCAGATGTTCCTCTTTGTTTGTTAACACGTGCCAAACAGAAGGCGTTGAGTGTAGTGCCCCCCACTCGAAGCAGCAAGCCGGTGTCAAACGTTCTGCTGAATGACGCTGGCAAGTGGCTAGTCTGGTTGAACCAGCCTGCTCCATGTGCATGAACCTTCTCGCCTTCCCGTGCCGTCAGCGCCTTATTAGCAGTGCTTTACCTCGTAACCCCCATGCCACTTTTCTCTTTCACATGACAGTGAGAATGCAATGACGGCACATTAGCCCCTGCTCAACGGACAAGGGAAAAGACCCTAATGTATTCATCATTTCCAGTCGCACAGTACCACTTTGTGGGTTGAGATCGATTGAAAAGCAGTGAGATATTCATAGCTATAATTTATATGTTGATTAATGAAAGCAAAACAGCTCTTTTCTGAGTGAGCATATGCATTCCGACGGATGGGATCTTCTGCCACAAGGTCCACCCTGTTGTACGGTCACCCAGAGGGAGCAGCTTTTCTCAGAAGCTTGCAGACGTCATGTTCAGTATTTATGCAGTCTGCCATCCCACCTCTCGATGTGACCAAATCACAGACATTGCTCCTTTATGGATTTATTTAAGTACATCTGCTGGCAAAAGTATCACCAAAAAACTATTATGTTTAAATTCCGATTAAGCCTTGTTGTTACACATGTGGAGGCTCCATTTTCTTATTTCCATTAACTGGTCAGTTCACATCTGTCAAACCTGGCATAATCTTATCAGTTATTACAATGTTATACTGATAAAAAACTCAGCTTTCCTAAAACTCAATGCAAATTCTGTGCTGTGTTTGACATTAAACTGCATGAGTATCCAAGTCATTCTCCAGTTGAACATGATTATTTTTTGTTATCAGGTCGAGCAGAACCAAATAAAGTGTGACAGCTTCTCACATATTTATACAGAATTGACATTTGTAAGTGTTGACATTTCTTTTTTTTTTCTGAATAGTGTTGACATTTCAAGTCCAGGTTGTACATGTTTAAACTTTCCTCTGCATTCCTGTATGTCAACGGGATCGGAGCGGGCCTGCACGTCAGGTTTTTTGACTGTGAACAGTCTTTAAACCTTTTTGGGCAGTCCATGTTATCGGTTTTTAACAATTTGAAAATCACACCGGTCCACTTTCTGGTTTTGACGTTTATAATTGTAAGTATTTAACTATAATGTACATAACTTTAAAATTCTACATGTATCTATGTAAATTATATGTGTAATAAATTGACAATTCTCACATTGTGGATGCTCTGTATGATGTAAAAAAAAAAAGAATGCAGGCAGCTACTCGTGTTTCAGTGAGGGAACAAACCCACTAACCACGTGAAAGAGTCTGCGCTGCACACATCATTTTTTGCTATAAATCCCGTTTTTCAAAGCACCGTGTGATTTGTGACTGAATCATAGCAGGGTGCGGCTCTCGGCAGGATGCAAGGAAAAGCTTAGATTTCAGCATTTTAGACTCACAGCAGTTTCTTTCCATGTAACCGAAGTAAAATGTGTTGTTTCTTTTGCAAGTGTCTGGATATACAAATACACGAACACATATACACACACGTCTGTGGCGTTGAACGGTGTTTAGGGAACCGCTGTAAAGTGGGAAGAAGCACAAGACTCTTTGGCAGTTTACCACGCTGTGGGCTGGTAGACTGCCAGGGAGGAAGACGAGCAGGGAAAGAAGAAAACGGGGGAGAGAAATGGGTATCAGACAAGGCAGCTGACTGATATCCTGTGTGAGTCTGGCAAGGAGTGTTTACTTTCGGGGATAGAGGAAACCTTCACAATGGGCCTGGTTTTCCTTTTGCCACCTCTTTTATACTTTGCCTACAATGCAAAACTGAAGCTCGGGGGTTTTCAGTCGTTGCATCAGAGCTGGGCCGAGCCTGTTCCAACCTGAAAACGGAGCTTGGCAAATCATTAACTCATGCCAAAATTCTTACAGTTGTCTTGATTTGTGCTTGCATTTGTATGTCTGAGGGGAAACTGGTGTTCTCTTCAAGAGAAAAAAAAGGCCAAAAAAGAAAAGAAAACAAAAAAACTTCAGTTCATTGAACCCCACTGCAGAAAACACTTCCAGATGTTTGAGCAATCTTTTTTCTTTTTGTTTGTCTTGTGAAATACTGTTACGTTTTGATCCAAGGCAGCAGCCATCCATCATGAACTGCCCTCAGCTGCATTCAGCAGAGCAGAGCCTCTGTCAAGTTTCCTTTAAAACCATTAGAAAGGATTTTGTTTACTTTTTAAAACTGCAATTAATCTTTTCAGTAGTTAGTCAAATATATACATATTTAGTGAGAAATATCCGCCCATACATAAACACCTTGAACCACATGCTGGTTTAATCAATCTTTGGCTCACCATGCAAAAGGCTCAACTGAATTAAAATTGTATCACTTTTCAACATTAAAATAACTTGCAATAAATTAAGTTTAGACTTTAAAGAAACCTCTATGATTGGATATTGGATAGACTTTAATTGTTGGTGCTCAAGCCCTTTTTGATGTCTTATCTTTAATCTTTCTTGTTCATTAATTTCTTTTCACACAGATCTGTAGATAAATTCACGGAGCAATCATCAGTCCTGGAAAATATCTGTAGATACAGTTACGAAGACCTTCACTTTGTGTAGTCCCCCTGGGGAACACTGCAGTGGGATGCCCAGACTATTTACTCCTGCAGAACAGAAATAGGAGCACAAAAGGAGTACTTTCAAATACTCCTGGGGTACCTTCTCTTTTTAAGGTGCCCTATATGCCTAATTACCAGCCCCAAAGGCACATATTTGTGCTTTTCATGGCCCAGGAAAGTACACTTATTGTCCCCTGTAAATGGACAATACACAGAGGGTACAACAACAGCCAGACCTCTGAGAGGACTACCCCAGTGACAAGTCTGTAGACCTCCAATCTTTTCTGATTAGGAAGATAGTTTTATCCAGACGCCTAACAATTCCTTAACGCACAGATAAGTTTAATGGTGCATGTCCAACTACAGTAAATGTATCAGTTTTCTGGAGATGGCAGCCTATGTCTGGGTTGCTTTGCAGAATTTCGCTTACGGACAGACAGTTCCAAGTTAAAGCAATTTCATCCTTTACCTAGAGGGAACTTACAACTCCAGACTATTCAAAACTACACGGAGTAGAAATAGAGGCATGACATGCGATCAGTCATGATCTATCACCTGACCTCAACCTCTCTGAACTTGTCTGGAATGAGCTTCATCAAAGGGTTCGGCCATGCAAAGAACGCATGGATCTGTTCTGGGAATGTCTTCTAGCATGTGGAGAGAATGCCAGAAACTGCAGAAAAGGTGAAATCCGGGAAGCTGTGCGATATGTTTGCATTCTACGGAACACAATTGACGCCTCCGTGTTATCTAACAGAATTTCATGTTTTCATGAAGCTGAGTAATTCCAAAATGGGCCACAGAACTACATTGTCTACTGTATGTATTCATACATGGGTGGCACTGTGCATTACAATTTTCTCCTGCCAATTTTCTCTCGCCTGATATGGGACATACTGCACGCTGATGAGCTAACAAGTAGAACAAATGTACCCACAAGCAAGCTGTTCACATGTGCTCCCAGAGAGGCTAACCATTCAAATCGGGAAAATGTGTCTGAAGAGACCTTGGAAAATTATGGATTTTTGTGTGACTCTAAGGAGGCCTGAGGACCTAAAGAGACACATCTGAAAATGTTTGACCCCCCCTCTGCTTTTTATCAAGCAATTTTAATGTAATTTGATTTTAAAAGATTTCAAAAACTCTTTCAATTCTTTACTTTACTTCAATCATAAATACCTTTTGAGTAATCAAGCTTGAAAAGTTCAGTTAGGCAACTGGATGGGAAGTTATTTAGAAGATGTTTCAACCAGCCACAGCCGGCACACTTCAAACCCGGCAACACTCTGAGACAAAAACTGGTACACCCCAAAGACAAGACACCCAGAAACAAGACCGACAACCTGGTTTTCCGTGTAGTGAAGAGTGCACCGACCTGTACATTGGAGACACCAAACAACCCCTACACAGGAGCTCAAAGCAGGAGGGCCAACTCCTCAGGACATGACTAAACTGCTCACCTACACCTGAAGGATTAAGGACACTCTGAGCACAACAATGTCCACAAATTTTGGCCAAGGAAGACAGATGGTTTGAGAGAGGGGTTAAGGAAGCCATCTTTGTTAACCTGGAAAAGCCATCACTCAACAGAGGAGGTGGTCTCAGACACAACCTGTCACCTACTTACTGAGCACTTTCAGGAACAATACCCAGAAAATTCACCTCTCACCTGCCCTCCCCTGACTCACACTTCAAAGAGGTGACTGAAACCACTCTGACGAGGGAGTTAACGACCCATCAGAACCCCCTAGCGACCATTAACCCTCCCCCAGGTGTACTCAATGGCCCACCCAGTCGGCAGGATCAGAGCCACCGCTTTTTTATTCTTTTCCCCCCTAATTCTTTTGTTAAACCACAGATTATTCATCTCAGGGCTCTCCATCATCAGTTTGAACCGATGAAGCCTCTTGGATGAGAGACGAAACGTCTTCTAGAAATCTTCACGTCCAGTTGCCTAACTGATCTTGTCAAGCTTGACCAGGACCTGGAAGACTGAGAATCTTCACAGATATCTTTTGAGGGATGTTTGTCTTTTTGTTTTGTTGTGCTTTAACGATTAAGAAAAGTGTAACCTAGCCCATTAGCTTTGCTGGTGCATCAGTTTTAAAGAAAAAGCTCAAATAAATACCATTCATCTTAATCTAGGAAAACAACTGATTTAGGCGTGGTGTTTATGTTGAGGCGTGAGGAAAGAGATGAAAAGGTAACGGCTTGCCTCAGTGGTCTGGCTGTGAGACGTAATTACATCAAAGTAGAGGGGCGCTTTGAACTGTGTGTAATTGATTCAGGCAAGCAGAAGCAGGGTGTCTTTATTAAATGCTCTGTTCTTGCTTGAACAACTATCAGACACACGTAATGTGACCTTCCTGGATGGATTGGGCCTTCAAGCGGCTAATTCACTTTGCTCGAACAATGAGCTCATGCTGTTTCAATCCCTGCGAGGTTTTAGTGTTTGCTCACTATGAAATCCAAGGTTGTGTTTTAAAGAAAAGTGAGAGTTAGCATTTGCAGTTCTGAGAGCGTTGTCCAGCAGTATTGATTTACCGATGCTCCAAACGCCCTTTGGGGGCTTGCTGTTCTCCCGTCACAGTGGAAGCTCGGGCCCTGTGTCAGCGAACTGCAGCCCGGCACAGAGGTTTTGTTTTCCAGGCAAACAAAGGATCAGTTCGGCTTGTCACGGGCCACAAAGATTTGCTTGTTTTCTAAGAGCCACCGGAGCTGTTGGAGTTTGCACCGCTGAACAAACATGTCGGGCAAATAGTTGTGAAATTTTGTTTTGAAAAGTTTGTTGCCCTGCCGGAGCAGAGGGAGACTGTAATGCTAAAAACATGCCATATGTGATGTTTTTCAAGGCAGCTGTCTCATTCCTGGGTTGGTGCCTAACTTTGTAACCTACCTCCATCTCTTTGCTTACAGAAGATAATTTTTTTTCACTTTTACAATTGAGAATACATTGAAGATATTACTTAGATAAAACTCATGGCATGACAGATTAGTCAAATTCAGAATGACATGCATAGACTTTGTGGGATTAACATAAATTCCCAAATCGAATAAAAAAAGTGTGCTCTATCTGATAGCACAGCAAAACATTAAAGGGTTAAATAGATTGCATCCCCCTCTTTTTGATCACTGTTCAAATGATGTAAATTTACAACAGTATTTCTCATAGATTGCATCACATCAGGCTGACTTAAAAAGATCAAGCAACAGCCTTTCCATGCAAAAGTTACAGCAACTCTTTGATGTTAGAGTGGCAGGAGCTGAACTCGTCAGACGAATCAAAGCCTTTGTCATTTTCATGAAACTTTACAAGGAAATAATACGTTTGCTCCAAGTCATCATCCTCCCATCAAATGTATCGATAAAGCATTCTTTAAAACATTTTTTAAAAGATAATGTTGAACTGTTAAGATATCAGTAGAATAAAGACGTATA